TAATAATTTAGGTTGTATATATATGTATAATTTAAAATGTAAAACAACAAAAAAAACTAGAAATTTTAATTATATTCAAATTGAGATTTCGTCAGATTATAAAGCTTTGTTAGGAAACTTTTCAACAGCTGAGCTCAATCTGTTAAAAACTGGCAGACGCGCATCTTCACCACTGTTAAGTGATGAAACAGAATTAACTTTGGCCGGAATTTTATTAACATTCCTTATTATAGCGATTGGAGAGCTCGAACTCTTTTGTAGGACCTGCTTGCCTTGAATTGTAACAGGCTTTATGTACAACGAAGTCTGATTTTGTATTGAACCTAACATTATATTAGGTGGTGGTGTATTCACTGGGGAAATTGGTGCATTTGGGCTTTCGGGTGGTGTGTTTACGTAAGGAAATGTGTTCTGGAAAACCGAATTTACCGGGCTAACTTGATCACCAAATGTAAAATTAGTCATAGAACTGGTAGGACTTAAGGATAATGACCCTGTGGGAGACTCTCGATCTGAGCCTGTTGACATGCTCAGGGGAGGACTCAAAGGTAGTGAATGATTGAGATTAGCTGCGCTGTTTCCTGGTTTAGGCTGCAATGGATAAGTTGTGATGCAGTTATGAAAACTGGAATGATTTTGCAACTTGGTTTGCTGCTGTTGTTGTTGCTGTTGTTGCTGCTGCATTTGTTGTAAAGCTCTAGCTTCATCCGCGTTATGTACAAAATGACATCTTGGGCCATATGGACAAAATCCAACGCTGTGGAATGTGCGACAATATTCGGTTTTGTACTTTGGGTGTCTTTGTAAGTTTCGTAGCTCATGATATCCATGAGCAAACTGGCACTTTTCTCCATACTTGCATTCACCGGCTTCTTCGAATGGACGACAAAGTTCGGTTTTATATCTTAAAACAAAGAAAACAATATATTTAATATAAACATTTCAAATTTATAAAATTGGTATAAATAACTACAGTAAAATACAAAGAACGTTGTTTTCAGAATGTATGTGTTTTTAGACATGTGGTTTTTAATGAGGCACTACTTTTATGGGAGCTGATCTTTCTGAGTGCTGTTACTTAATTTATACTCAGTTTCGTTTGCCATTTCATAATGCCTAGACTTACTCCGGACCTCTCTGTTGGAATTAATTCGAGCAAGTCGCTGCGCGGCATTGCCCTGCCCAAAATCATTTTTAGAACATTTTAATGCCCGCTCTAATTTTTATAATATACATATTTATAATTTTATAATAAAGCTAAAAACTTGGCTCTAACTTGAAATTAATGCCACCACACATGCCTTAAAAAATCGTCTTTATAAATTACTAAAAACAACAAATGTCCACACTGCCTGCTTTCTTTATCCGTTCTCAATTATACCGGCACTTTAAATTAATAAGTATAACAGGTCAATTGAAAAGTCCCCAGTTATAGAAAAACACATTTTTTTGGGAAAAATTCGTTTTTTTTTTTTAATATAGCCTTCAAACGTGATATGCTGATCATAGTGTCCCACCAACATTTCAATACCATTTTTGTAGTACGGTTTGTCCTTTGCTTCGAAATAGGACTCAGTTTCGCGATCACCTCTTCATTCAATTTCTTCCCAGCGAGCATTCATTTTGAGATTTTTGAACAGGAAATAGTCGCTGAGGGCTAGGTCTTGAGAATACGGTGGATGGGAAGCAATTGGATTTTTGCCGTCGTTTTCACTGACTTGTGGCCCAGTGCATTGTCTTGGTTAAACATGAATTTCTTTTTCTTCAAATGCGGTCGTTTTTCGGCTATGTAATAGTCGCTGTTGATGGTCCCTCCTTTTTATATTTATTTCCATACGCAGCCGACTGTCGCGTTTTCCACGCTTTAGAGTGCGTTCATCGTAAGCAGTTCACTCGGATGACTGTCGATTGGACTTTGGAGTGAAATGCAAAAGCCAAGTTTTAGTTTCAACTGCAGTTATTCCCTTCTAAAAGCAATTTTTTATGAAGACGCAATATTCTTTTTTAACTTTTTTTCGAAAGTAGCAAAAGTTGCTTCACTTAAAATAATATAATTTAATGTTCCCAACAGCTGTCTAATTTGTACACCATTTTAAAAGTTGGGACTAACTAAAAATCAAATTGATTTAATTCTAGCGCCATCTACTTGTATGTGTCAACTCGAGGACTTTTCAATTGATCTAATCCACGACTTAATGCTTTAATGAAGACCCTTGTATCCTCAGAGTAAACTGTTTCACCTTTTTTTTTATGAAATTCGTGACTCTCTTGCATCGAATTTCAACGTTATGTTAATTATTCAAAATTTAATTTTTATTATTACCTAGAAGTATTAACTTGCTGTGGTAAGGGTTCAGATTGTGTTCTCTCCAGTTTACGATGTAAGTTCAAGTTTCCGAAGTTTTCTAATATAGTTGTTACATAGGACTCAACATTTGCCTCATGTTGTGCCTGAGGTTGAGGTTGCGAAATGGTTCTGGTCAACGCAGTGTGGGGACGGCATTGATCAGAATCTTTCTTGATGTCCAGCTTTACTTTCTGGTCGACTGCTTTGACAGAATTGTCCATTTCGGAAGTAATTATATCACCATTGTTGCTTACTGTGCGACTTGAACGAATATGTTGCTGTTGATCATTTGACTGGTTCTGAAAAACATATAACACATTAAAAAACGTGTATAACAAATTATAATCATATGAAGCTAATGAATAATATTATCAAAATTATTATAGAAAGCTAATACATATTCTGTTATTTTTGGTTTTTATACTGCTGCAACATTTTGCTACACAGTATATTAGTTTTGTTCACCTAACGGTAGATTGTATCATCTAAAACGAATCGAGATAGATATAGGGTTATAGGTAACGAGACAAGTTGAAATTCCCATGTCTGTCTGTCAGTCCGTTCATCTGTCTGTGCAAGCTGTAACTTTACCTGCAAATGTAAAATGTAATTGAGATGAATGAAACTTGGTACACGTGTTCTATGGTTAAAAAAAAAACAAAAAACAGAAGACAAGTTCGTAGATGGGTGTTATCGGTCGGTCGATTGCGAGTCGAATTGTTTGAAACCTCGTTTGGTATCGAACGGCTCGGAGAGGTCCTTATCTATCCTGATGGACATTTTGGTATTGCTCAACGTAAGTTTACACAGCCGTATTAGTTTTGCGGGGATACCAAATTCAGACATCGCGGTTCCTCCTTTTCGTGCTGTCAAAAGCAGCTTTGAAATCAATGAAGATTCTGTTTTCACGGTTCTTTACCGAGATTTAGCGCATGGTAAATATCTGGTATGTTTGGCATAATTTTATATGCAATTTTGAGGAGATTTAGTCCAAGGTAGTTTGCGTAAATTGTAGGAATTTGCTCCATCGTCATCGATTTGGGATTCGGATTAGCCATCTCCCGCTATTATGCTTTCACTGTCATTCAGCAGGCTGGAGAAGTGTTCCATCCATAATTTTAGTATGCTCTGGGCATCGGTTACTAGATCACCTTTGGGGTCCTGCAAGAGTATGCTCCTGGCTTGAAACCTTTTGTTAGTCGCCGCATCTTTTCGAGTATTAGCCCTGTCGGCCACCTTGTCAAACTCTTCGCACTCACGCATTTCGGCTTCTTTGTTTTTGTCTACAAATGCGTCTCGCTTCCTCTTAAATTCTCGGTATCTATCCCATCCCATCCCGAACGTTTTGTAGTCGATTTCAACGTTGCGATGTAGGGCACAATTCCGATTTCTTTGGCGACGCGATTTGAAGGTACCGTTGGAAAGAGGAAGTCCTCCTAATTAAAAAAGGGTTATACGTACCGCAAACACTTAGCTTACGAGATATTCGACCTTAAATTTAAAAAATTCGCAAAATTCGGACATTTCAAGAAGCTATTTCACCACATTAAACACACTTTATTCAAATTTTTCACTTCAAATTAATCAAATTACACTATAAACTTTTAAATAAATCCACATTTTACACTTTTAGCAAGTCTTTTACCTAAAAAATCTTTATTTTAAAAATTACATTTTACACTCGTTTAAACCTCATTTGTTTACCTTGTGATGATTGGACAATTCGCTGAAACTCCTCTTTTTTCACAAAAATTCCT